GTCCCGTTGGAAGATTTGTGTCTTCTTGCAGGTTCTGGATAGTCGGCACAGTATTCTGGGTGTTTGGAGGAGCGTTCTGAACAACAGGTGTCTGCTCAGGTAATGGGGCCCCTGCCGGAGGAGGAATTTGGTGTGAAGCAGATGCTGTATTCTGTTGTTGCAGTCTGGTAATCAGCTCAGCCTGCTGGGTCATAATCTCGGATTGTTGCTTGGCGAGTTCATCTCGGCGAACGGCATCCTGCTGCATGGCCCGCATGGTTTCCTGCATTTGGCGCATCATTTCCTCAACTCCTGTTGGTGCTGTCATACTGTTTTGATTTATCTGAACTACTAACAGATCTGTCTCAATGGGGATCTCAATCCAAATGTCCACTGATGGGGGAAACCACTGTTCTGGTGATCTCTGTTCGGATACACTGCGCTTTTTCTGCTTCCTTCTGGTAACAGGGGGTAGAGAATGGAACACTGGCTGTCCGTCGATTAGATCCTCAAATCGATGGAGTCGACGACCTCGTGTCCAAAGTGCTTGGGGAATGCCTGTCGGGTTGGAAGCAATTGTGCTAAAACTGACCTAGCAAAAGATAAATAAAGCGAAAAGGAAATAAATAAACAGATAAACGGACAGCATAACAGCTTAAAATAAAATGCATGACACACAGCCGGGCATAATAACACACAGTCAATAAGCTGAATAACACACTGTCCTCAAACACTGATTATTATCCCTGTATCACTGTCCCTTAAAACAGAATCTGATATCCGTAGATAACTAATTCCCAAATACTGGCTGATGCCCGCAGGCCTGATACCCATAATACTGAATTGATGCCCGCAAGCCTGATGCTGACAATACTGAACTGATGCTCGCAGGCTTAATACTCAAACTCATATACTAATCTGATGCCCGCAGGCCTGATACTGTCAATACTGAACTGATGCCCGCAGGCTTGATACTGGCAATACTGAACTGATGCCTGCAGGTTTGATACTGGCAATACTGAACTGATGCCCGCAGGCTTAATGCCCAAACTCATATACTGATACATGCATTCCTGTAGAGACGCACTCTAAAGCACATAACAGATAAGTGAGAGCCAAAACACCCCTATGTTGGGGTAGGGTTTCCCTGTCCTATTGCGTTAGGAGCTAGGGTTTCACTACGCACGCAACGGTTTCAAACAACCTATAAACGGGTAAGAATTCATTATTATTTATCAAATCAAAGCAAAGCAATCTATCAACTTACAACTTTGTCAAATTATGCAGCAACCAACAAGTATCTAGGATGCATTAATGAGTTACAAACTTGTGTATATCAAAAGGTCATCAAAAGTACTTCTGGTTAAAATTTTTTATTTTTTGTATCAATTTCAGCAACTAGAAATAATCAAAAAGCATGATAAGAAAAAATATAATAAGGTTCATAGCTTTGAAAAATCCAGTGAGTTCAACCACACAATTACCCAGTCTTACTTGTTATCCAGAAAAGCACAGTCAAAAGGTCCTAGGGACAAACACAATAAATCGAGTTTTTACTGCCAGTTAAGAACTGTGGTCAGGTTAGGAGCAGTTCTTAAAATCGAATTAATTTCATATATGGCCAGATTTAGATTGAGAGAGCAGGTCTGAATAATGCTGAGGATATATTTGAGCTAAAATCTGTTGGCTGATTCCAGAAATTTGGCATCCAGACTCAACCTTTTCTTTCTTGTTTTTAAAAATTCCCATACTCTTTTTTCTTTTTGGGAGGGTGGGAGGTGGGGGGAAGTTTTCCCTCGTCCTTTGCATGAGAACTTGGACAATTGCTTCAAATTATCAAGCTGAATCCATATGCAGAAAGTCCCCCGACAAGATTCAGCTGCAAATCCAGCTATTGTGACAAGTAATTCGAGCTACTGTGACAGATTTAGTGCAGGATAAGCATAAAAGAAACCACAAATAGAAACAAGATATTTCATGCAAATGCAAATTATAACCCGAGGCCATACCAAGCCCATGCAAAAAATTAATAATAAGTACAAAGCAATGCATGCCATAAAATGATGGGAAAGACTATGGTGCACACCTCTCAAATGGTGTGTACCGTATGCACCTTATAACTAAAGAAGAAAATGATACAATTTCATACTTTCAGAGTCATAACTAAAAAAAAAAAAAAATCATAACCAAACAACACATGACGCACAACCAAAGATCTCATAAGTGATAATTAAAACAAGGTCATAACTAAAGAAGAAAATTAGTCATAATTAAAGAAGAAAATGATATAACTTAGGGGTGCATATGGTAGGCGGTGTGTATAGTAGAATTTCCCTAAAATGATACCTGAGCACCAAAATAAGCAAGCTCTGCTGCCTCCTCAAATGTTAGATATGGCACAGGTTCTGCGCGTGCATATATGTTAGGATCACACGTCAAAACACCATCAACATCCTTCCACACCTGTAATGGATTGAAAAATAGGTTCTTATTTGTCTAGAAACTTGTATGGAAGTCGCGCAATTACAAATTATGGAATCTGAATCAAAATTTCATACAACTAGAGCTCATAAGAATACACTGTTTCACACTGTTCCATAGTATGCTATTTATAATGTTATCCCATATCCATGTATACATATGCAGATATATGAACAACTTCTGACATAAATGTATTTAGGGTAAGCACTGACCTGAATTTCTCGCAACCCCAGGGCTTTACCAATGGTTGTGGCTGTCAAATCACTACCACCCCTACCTAATGTAGTCACTGCACAAGATCTCCAGCCCTGCAATCATAATGGATTTAAAATATCATTAAGACAGTCGCTCAAATGGTCAAGATTCAAGCAGATAATGACTTTTAAAGAGGAAAACTATCAAGGAACAACAGGCAGGAAGACCTTTCCAAGGAAGCCAGTAACAATAGGAATTGCAGGATCACTAATCCAATCACTGTGTAACCTCTTTGCAACAGCCGGATAAGTTGCTTCCAGAATATCCGCATTTGTGAAGTCATCTGTCGTTATGAAACCAATATCAAATGCATCGTACTGCAAAATGATGCACATCATTGAATTTAGTCATGATCAAAGAAATCATTAATGAGGTACCTGAAAGTACAGCAAACATTTTAACCAGCAGGACAGGTGACAGAAGGAAGTATATTACATTTACGGGGTTAGGTTATATGTCAGAAAGTTAACAGAAAGAAACATTTAAAGTCATTTAACTGAGACAAATGTCAATGTCCAAAAGACGTTTACGGAATCAAGTTATATGTACTTCTTTCAACCACAAATTACAAGCTTGAAAGAAGTAAAGAGGCTTCTAACATTCTTTCATCAGTAAAAGACTATTGCAAAATGGGATGTGGGTAGATGAAGATTCAAAAGGATCAAGATGCCTCAGATAATGATATACATGCACAAGTAGAAATCCAATAGACAACCTACAAGACAACAAAATTGTTCATGGAACTCAATAAATCAATAACCACACCAATCAAAAGCCCTACATGTACTTGACCATTTCAATTTTTCGTATCACATGTGAATCTTTTCCTTTTGGTTTAACTAGTACTGTCTCATATAAGGTCAAAAAAAATTATCAAGCAATACTAGCCTTTCCAGTTTATCTCAAATGTAAAACAAAGGGGATAAGCAAGCAAGTAAAAAACACAAAAAATTAGATAAACTATCAGAAAACAACATACTTGGCGAGCTTTAACACCAATTTTACTTAAATATGATGCAAAAATTCTTGTCGACATGCACTCCCCAAAAGAGACTAAGTAGTCTCTCGTACGTAGAGTTAACTCTTTCACTTGAGCAATTCCCTTCAGAAGTTGCTCCAATTCTTCTAGGTGTGCTGTAAAATATTTTCAGAATTAAAAACATAACCAAAACATACACAAGTAAGAATGCATGAACATCTCACTTTAAAAAAAAAGAAGTATTAGTATCATTTGAAAAAGTACATGGTCAATGAACATTATTTATACCCCATAAATAAATACTAGGTAAATCAAAAGTCCATGAAAATCATAAATGTGGAATAAGTTTTTATTTCATTGAATTGGCATTAGGTTGCCAATGTTGTTTATTTTTTAAAATTAGAGTTTGGTTTACTTTTATAAAAGGCAATATCTCAGTGTACTATTTCTGCAATTTAATTTTCCCAAATATGCAGCAGCCTACATGTTCTCCAAAGAAGTAATAGAATTTGATGCACATCGTTCCATGAAGCAAAAAAATAGACAATGGCAGAGTGTGTAAGTGGTGGTATTGGGATATGGTAGCAAGATAATGAATGAAAAGTTACTAGTTAGTATATTGAAGTTTGTTTTACAGAAAGAAAAAAATATATATATATATATATATATATTAAGACTATACAACTTGAAGGAATTCAATTCATATCAACATAGAACAAGAGAACTTCATGGAAACGAAGGAACTTACTTGAAATAGTGGACCTGTCAATTCCTAGCTCATCCATAGTCCTAATAATGCATATATATGTACAATAAGAAGGAATTTAAAAGATAAAATATAAATGCAAATTTTCATCATCCAGATAAGAGGGGGGAGGAGGGGGAACATGAAAGAAAAAAAGATTTCCGACCTGAGGTGCAATTCTTTCACAAAATTGAACTCATCAACATCAGAGACATTGGAAACACCGCAAGTGACAGCCTTTTCTCCAGCCTGGTACAGAAAAGACCGATTTCAGTTGACACGTTATTCAGACGATGGAAAAAATTTGAAGACTAGATAACAAAATATGAAACACAGTAAGAATCAAGTATACCAGTAAAAGCTTGGTAGTAGTCTTTCCCATGGCAGAGAGAACTATGACAGGCCTCTCTTCTGGGAAGCTGAGAATAAGGTCAGCAACCTCTCTCATCCTGTCAGATGAGGCCACTGATGATCCACCAAACTTCATAACGCATGTCAGCTCATGGAAGACCCCATCACAATTTTGATTTTGAATTTTATTCCGCTCAAGCACATGGACAGTTGTTCCCTCGCAATTCACTCTTAAAACTCTCCTTGTGCAGGAAGTTTCTACAGCTCTAGTACATAATCCAGTAAGTGAAGCCGCAGATACAGAAAAACGAAGCTGGCAATGCAAATTTGTCCTCGAAAAAGAAGGGTGAGGATTTTTGACTCCACAAAAATGCAATGAAGTTGCCATTTTTAAAATAAAAAATAAAAAAAATAATAAAAAAAGGCTTTTTGCTATTCTATCAAAAGAGTGAATGGAGTGTGGCAAAAGCAAGTTAATTGGACAAATATGAGAAGGTTGGGTTGGGGGATGGGTATTCAAACAAACAATAAAGTGAGAGACAAGTGGGCTTCCGGTTTTGACACCAATATGATATCTAATAAAATGGACAATTTCTTTTAGTATGTAAATAAATTCCAAGAACTTGCAAGATTTCTGAGCTCGTCTCGTCTGCCAAATGATCTGCACATGGGCATTGCTTGATTGAATTAATTAATTGAAAACCAACACCAACACCAACACCAACACCAACACCAACAGAATGGAAATTTATATAAAATAACAGGAGAGGAGACAGACAAAGACAAAGACAAAGACAAAGACAGGAGGAGACATTTAATTTAATTTAATTTAAAGAAACACTAATTTGCAGTTTGGTCGCGGCGGGAGGAGAGGAGAGAATTGAGGAAACGGAGAGGACAAATACTAATACGTAATTTTGAAACTGTTTGATGCAGCTGTGTGTGCTGTGCTGCCGTTGAAAAAGATTTTTAACCAACAAAATATGTTACTGTTGTTTAATGGGCATCCCGGATCTCAACACAATCACAATCACAATCACAATCACAATCACAAGTTTTTATATCTTTTTTTAACTTTCCCGCATTTTATTACCAGCCAAACCCAAACCCAAACCCAAACCCAAACGGGGTACCTACCAATGGCAATGGAGAAAGAAAAATAACTGAAATGGAAATTACGAAACGTACCTGCAGACAGATCTGTGAACAGAACAGGGAGGGGAAGTGTCAAAAGCAGAGGAAGAGGTGGTGGTGGAGTGGTCTAGGTAGGTAGGGTAGGGTAGGGTGGTTGTTATTCCTTGAGTTGAGCGGTTCTCTTTCTCTGTTGTGGTCCGGTGGAACGCCAGCGACCGAGCGAGGAAAACGTGTCTGCCAGCCTGTGTTGTTTTTGTAAGAGGGAGGATGTCGTCGTTGGGGTTCACGACGAGTCGAGTCGAGTCTCGTCTATTTCAAGTTTGATTTACTAAATTTAAATTTGACCCAACCCAACATAAGTTGAACAACTTGTACATTCATTGTTTAAGTTTAATTTATTTACTATAATTATTGAGTTTATAATTATGTTTATTTATATAATAAATTAATTTTTAATTAATCAAACTCAAGTAATTAATTTTTCTTTTCTTTTCACTCATCATTATCAAAATTAATATAATAGGTCGGTCGGTGGAAGATTTTAGGGCAAATTACATATACACCCCTCCAGGTTTGGTTAAATTACAGATACCCCTGAGGTTTCAGAAATTACATCCCGCCCCCTGAGGTTTGTATTTTCATAACAATTTACCCCCTGAGGTTTATATTTCATAACAAATTACTCCCTAATTTCTTAAATATGTTTATTTATATAATAAATTAATTTTTAATTAATCAAACTCAAGTAATTAATTTTTCTTTTCACTCATCATTATCAAAATTAATAGGTGGGTCGGTGGAAGATTTTACTGACCTGGAGGGGTGTATATGTAATTTGCCCAAGATTTTACTGTTTCCTTTAACTTTCTTTACTAGGAAATTGCACTATTTATTTGGAATTCTAATACAAAATTCATATATAAAATATAATGAAAATAACAGGAGAGTTTTTATTTGATTAATAATATTAAATTTAGAAGAAAAAAATATATATAAATAATACAAAAAAATTGTTGTATAGTTTATATATACTATATAAATAAATTGAATGGGTAGATCTATTTTTAAAACAGTATGACAAATTTTATCAGAATTGAATTGACTTACTAATTTAACCCAACCCAACCCAACTAATCAGCGGGCCATCTCAAAGTCAAATTCATGGGATTAATTTTGAATGGTTTTGATTTGAGTCGGCGCGACTTTATTAAGCGTTTGACCAGTTTTTAGTGTTTGTTAGAATGCAAACTTTTCCTCCTTCCTGTCTGTTACAAAGAAAATGGAATGAGTGGACAGTAGGGATTTTGACGCAATTTTCATTTTAGGTGGTGGTTGACAAGTGTTTTTGGAATTAAAATAGTCATAAAAAATAAAATAAGTTATTTTAGTTATAACAAATAAAATATCACATTTAATTTATAATTATTATACTCTTCTCTTATTAAAAAAAAATAAAAAATCCTTCTCAAATCAAGCTTTTTAGCCCAGGGTAAAATAGTCAAAAAAATCAAAAAGTCAATCCACTTCCCAAACGGAGGCATAGTATTAGTGTGCTAATTAATATAATAATTAATAATATGACATAATTTAAGATATTTTTGATATTTATAATTTATACAATAAATTTGATCAATAATAATGTCATTACTAATATTAGTACAACAATTAATACATATACCACTGCTCTTTTAAAATAAACTTTTTCTTTATCACAGACTTCATCTCAGCCGCTGATCTTCTCAAATTTTTAAGCGTAACCCTATGGCCGGAGGAGGAGGAGCACACACGCCGCCAACAACGCCTTTTCCCATTCTTGGCAATTGTTTTGTAGGTAAGTGAGTTGTTCTTTTAGCCTGTGTGTGGTAGCCTATGTGTGGAAGCGGGTTGGAGGATTTTTTTTAGTTAAAATAATCACAAAAAAATAAAATAAATTTTTTTAATTTAATAAGATAAAATATCATATCTAACTTATAATTATTACATTTTTTTTCTTACAAAAAAATCAAAAGCTCTTCAATATTAGACTTTTTAGTCTCAGACTGACTAAGATAGTCAAAAAAATCAAAAATCAAAAAACCAAAATGTTAACCTATTTCCTAAATGGAGCCTTAGTCTTCATTTGACAAGTGATTTGAATTTAGATTGTGACTAAAAAAATATAAGGTAAATTATAAATACATTTTCTAAGATTTGATTAAAATACGAATCATTTTCTGTGATTTTAAAAATTACATTTCACCTCTTGAGGTTTCAAATTTCATAACATATTGTCCATTTTATTAATAAATCATCAAATCAATTAACAGTTTTTAATGATGTTAAAAATATGTTTCAATTAATAATTCAGGTAATTTTATTATTGTATAGGAAAGTAATTATGAATTTTATTTTTTTAGTTAATTCTGTTAAATAAAAAATTATAATAAGAGAATATTTGTAATTTTTCAAATCATAGGGACAATCTGTATTTTAAACAAATCTCAAAAATATATTTATAATTTACCCACAAATATAAAAAGACAAAATAAGTTAAATAAATTAATAAAATAAAATATTACATTCAAATTGTAATTATTTTACTTTTTATCTTATAAAAAAAAATCAAAAACAATTTCAAACAAAACTAATTTAGCCAAAAAAAAAAAAAAAAAAAAAAAAACAATCCAAAATTTTTTTTACATGCAAAAAGATTCCCTAACCAAAAAAAAAAAAAAAAAAAAAAAACATCAATCCAAAATTTTTTTCTCAAACGAATCCTAAATTGGTGTCCGGGACTTTACTGATCTCTATTCAAAAACTCTTTATACATTGGTCCAAAAAAATATATAATAAAATAAAAGACACGTGCATTATTATAATAAGGATAAATTATCATTCTGTGATATTTCGAAAAAAATATTACATATTCATAGAAATAATTATAATTTTTATTAGTATTAATATTTATTAAATTTATCACTTCTTTAAAAATATTTTTTTAAAATTTATATTACTTTAAAATTTTGTCTTATAATAAATACTTTTTTATTATTCTTTTATCTGTCAATGTCCAAAGGACATCTCCAATGAATATATTTATAATTTGCTGCAAAAATAAGGTGGTGCCTCCTTTTCATTTTTGTCTCTTTAAGAAGTAATAGAACAAGCGTTTTGACATGAATGGTTTAGAATAACATTCCACAACTACAATCACTAAATAATTTATCATATTTAGATGTGTAAGTGTTGGACATAATTAGAGGACATATGGCATTTTTTTATTTATTTGGAGATTATGAGAAGTTATAAAATGTGAAAAGATGATAGATAATAAAATGAAAAATATAGAGCATGAAGTACAGGTTAAAGGAAGTTATGGAAGATCATGTAGTATGAGATGGAGGTGGTGGAGGAGTGGGTAGTTTTAGATAGTTTTTTTCGTATAAATATTTGCCTATAAATAGTCATTCATGGCTACAATGTTAAGGCCAGAACTCAAATCAAAGACAATTGATTTATATTTTTCTTATTATTTATGTACGGGGAGGAAATATTCGTCGCTGTCCGTACTCCTTTCGTCCAAGCTCCGTGTCTATCCGGTCAACCTGAGAACACAACGGCAGTGAGCTACCCGGCGGTGTGTTGCCGGAAAACCTCTCCGACGATCAAGTTAGCGCACACAGAGAGAGAGAGAGAGAGAGAGAGAGAAAGAGAAAAGCTCCATGAATGTAAGTTTCTCTCACCAAATAATGTTCCATCCCTAGCATGGGGGGCGTAATCATACTTATATACTTTATGCGCCCAACTCTGCACCCATTACCCTATTGACACGTGGAGCTGCTCTCCCATCTGTCAGCACAAATCCAGTTAACACCACCTAATCAAACCGCCAGACAACATTTGCGGGCACAGGGCAGCCCGGGGGCATCACCTCGACCTCATACGACCGTGCTACGTAACGAGTCCGAGGGCGCTGCTCGCCGAGATCCATCACAACTGAGCTCAGTAGCATTCCAGCAAGACCGAGTTCCAGATAAGTTAAGCCGGTACTCAGAAGACCTTCCCCACCGAGCTAAACATGCTCCCACGAAACCGGGTTAGCAGACGATCATCTCGGTCAAACTACCTCTGCCAAAACATGGGACCTGGACCTCAGCCGAGCAAGACCAACTTCGGGGAAGCCCCAGTTAGCTCGGCCTAAACATGGGACCTGAGCCTCGACCGAGCAAAACCAACTTGGACAGGCCCAAGTTAGCTCGGCCCAAACATGCTCGGCCCTCTTTCTGTCCGGCTTCCACCATGGCCCAAAGCCAGATTATAAATCTCCCTCTCAATTTATATTTCCTACATTTTATTTTACGCACTTTCTTTTCAAAGCATTTATTTTCAACATTTCCTTTTCAAAGCATTTTATGCACTTCTTTTTCAAAGCATAGGAGTAGAGGTAAGTAATTGTTACTTTAATTATTCATTCAATCATTTTTCTATTTTTCTTTCATTCTTCTTTTCTTTAACACTTGGCAATTTTGAAGTTCTCTTCATTGAGACAAAAGAACCGTCAACGCAATAGCTTGATAATTGGCTTGAATTTAATCTATAAGGAATTTTCAATCCTTACTGGTACGCTCACATTTATGATATTTTCTTTCGTAAGAAAAATAAGCCAACAGTAAGTAGAAAAAGAAAAGAGTAGCAAAAAAAAATTCATTTTCTTGCTCCAATAGAGTTGTTAAGAAATTTATTAGTGTAAGTTTTGAATTAAATAAAAAAATTCAAATTTTTATAAATATTAATTATTATATTATAGTTTTTTAAATTGAAGATTAAATTTAAAGATGTTGTGAATATATGTATATATATATATATATATATGATTAGGTATACACAACGAAATTAAGGCCTTGGAATAAGTTGTTTTAGTAATTTTTTGAGTTTTTACTAAAAGATGTGCAGAAAAATAAAGAGAATAATGTGACAACTTATAGTGACTTTTTGACTAAAACATATATTTGCCAAACGAGGCCCAGTTGCAGTGACACTTCTAACACTATAGCATGCTAAAATATTGTATTGACAGAATTGAAATAGCACGATCTATTGAAGATAGTCCAAAGTTTCGTTTGACATTGACTAATATAACCAACTTTTTTATGTTGGGAGTTTTTTAGCCTGACTTTTTTAGTCTCATTTGATTTGGATTTTTTGACTTTTTTTTTTTATTTTTGTAAGAAAAAAATTATAATGATTATGGGTTGAATGTGATATTTTGCCTTATTAGTTTATTTAACTTATTTTGTCATTTTGTATTTTATTAGCCCTAAAATGATAACC